AGACAGATGAGGGGTATAAGGATTCTCCGAGATGTTTGACCAGATCCTCTGTATGGATGGGGGAAGGTGACATAAGCGATGTGTGTGTGAGACAGACTGAATGTGGGAATGGCAGGACGTGATACCGTGTGTAAGAAGACCCTGCTGTGGCCACGGTGACTGGGTGTGAGTGACAACAGATAGCGTGTGTGGCTGATGAGTGTTTTGGGGAATATGACAGCTGGTGTTGGTTTGTGTGTGCACAGACCAGAGGAGGTGACAGCCTGTGTGGGTGTCTGACAGACGGGAGTGGGGGACTGAGGATAGGATGCTAACCTTGGAGGAGGGGGCTGGGGTGGGGGTCAAGGCCTCCCCTGTCCTGCAGAGCAGCTGAGCAGCTGGGCCAGGCGGGTGGGCGGGGACTCAGCTGCCATCCCCAGCATCCATTGTCCCAGGACAAGCAGGAGTTCTCTTGCCTTTGGTGACAGGCAGCTGCTTTGTCTGGACTCAAAGTGGGGGCAGGGAAGGGGGGAACTAGCCAGGCCGGGTCTAAACCTTCTTCTCTCCTCCTCCCTATCCCTTTCCAGAACCATCTGTGGCACCCCCAACTATGTGGCTCCAGAAGTGCTGCAGAGACAGGGCCATGGCCCTGAGGCAGACGTGTGGTCCCTGGGCTGTGTCATGTGAGTCCCAGGGTCATCTGTACCCTGGTGGGGGCCCAGGTGAGGTGTCCCTTCCGCTGCACTCCTGACCGTCTCGCCTCTGCCTTTCAGGTACACACTGCTGTGTGGAACTCCCCCCTTTGAGACAGTTGACTTGAAGGAGACGTATCGCTGCATCAAACAGGTTCACTACACACTGCCCGCCTGCCTCTCACTGCCTGCCCGACAGCTCCTGGCTGCCATCCTTCGAGCCTCGCCCCAAGACCGCCCCTCAATCGATCAGATCCTGCGCCATGACTTCTTTACCAAGGTTTGTGGCTCCCTAGACATCTAAGTCAAGTCTGCATATTCCAAGGGGATTCAGTGGGGGTAGATGACCGAACTCCTGGGGCTTCTCTTCTTTGCTCACATGACTTCCCTCCTCAGGGCTACACCCCCGACCGCCTCCCTGTCAGCAGCTGCGTGACAGTCCCAGACCTGACACCCCTTAACCCAGCTAGGATCCTATTTGTCAAAGTTACCAAGAGCCTCTTTGGCAGGAAGAAGAAGAGTAAGTCTGGAATGTCAGTGGTGTGGAGGATATAACATGGTGGGGCGGGCTTGGCACATTCATTGTGGGGGCATGAATGTGAATGCCTTTGAACCGCTGGGGAGAGCATGTGCCCATCTGTATCCCCGCAGGAACTCTGGGGATGGGCAGGATATGAAGGTTATATCTTCCCCCACCCAGGTAAAAACCATCCTGAGGAGCGGGACGAGGTCTCCTGTTTGGTGAATGGCCTCACGCGGACATCCATTGGCCATCAAGGTGCCAGGCCAGAGGTGAGGTGCTCACATGGGTAGTGTGCCCTGACTCACTCTCACCCTAGCAGCTGCAGGAAGCCTGGGATAAAAGAAGCTACTGAAGCATTTAACCTCGTGCTGGCCTAATTGGCTGCGTCTCATTAGCCAGGCGGGGCTGACCTGGGGTGCCCCGGCTGCCAGGGCAAGGCTAGGCCATGGACTCTCGAGGATTCGGACCTTGAGGCCTATCTCACTCCTTTCCCCTCTCCAACTCTCCAGGCTCCAGCAGCTTCCGGCCCTGCCCCCCTCAGCTTGGTAGAGACAGCGCCTGAAGACAGCTCACCCCGTGGGACCCTGGCGAGCAGTGGAGATGGTGAGCAGCTGGGAGGAAGAGAGGAGCTATAGAGGTTGGTGGGGATAAACCCAGGGGCTAAACCCAGGGGCTAAACCCAGGGAAGGAGGGTCAGTGTCAGAGAAACATGGCCTGTGTCCTGGCAAACTGATGCCTAATTCCAGGTTCCCTGTTCTCTGCAGGGTTTGAAGAAGGTCTGACTGTGGCCACAGTCGTGGAGTCGGCCCTCTGTGCTCTGAGAAACTGCCTGGCCTTCATGCCGCCGGGTAAGGGTGGGGTCCAGTAGGGGTGAATGGTGTTAGGAGTTCTTTGGCGGAAAGGTGGGAAACAGGTCCTCACTCCTTCCTCTTCCATGACAGCGGAACAGAACCCAGCTCCGCTTGCACAGCCAGAGCCTCTGGTATGGGTCAGCAAGTGGGTGGACTACTCCAATAAATTTGGCTTTGGGTATCAGCTGTCCAGCCGCCGTGTGGCTGTGCTTTTCAACAATGGCACACACATGGCCCTTTCAGCCAACAGAAAGTAAGTGCTCTTCTGGTTTGCCTGGTATCTGGGCCACTGTGCCCAGCAGGTGTGTGCTCCTGCACTGGGGTGTCCTGGGGTCTCCGGGGGACGGGCATCGGCGACGGGCTCCCTCTGACCTCGTGTCTCCTCTCCTCCAGGACCGTGCACTACAACCCCACCAGCACAAAGCACTTCTCCTTCTCTGTGGGTGCTGTGCCTCGGGCCCTGCAGCCTCAGCTGGGTGTCCTCCGGTATTTTGCCTCCTACATGGAGCAGCGTCTCATGAAGGTGTGTGATTGGAGTGGGGCACATTGATGAGTAACGCATCCTAACCCCTTCCTGGTCCCCTCGGCGGGAGGGGTGGAGGGCTCAGAGCTGGAGGCTGAACCTCTGTAGGAGACATCAAGGGGGCGGGCAAGTGACCTGTCAGGCAAGTGACCTGCTCCCGCTCCCAGGGTGGAGATCTGCCCAGTGTGGAAGAGCTGGAGGTGCCGGTGCCCCCACTCCTGCTGCAGTGGGTCAAGACGGATCAGGCCCTCCTCATGCTGTTCAGTGATGGCACTGTTCAGGTGAGAACCCCTCCTGGAGCTGGGGGGAAGGTCAGGGAGGCCCCTGGTTCAGTGGGGAGGAAAATGGACCTGGGGCCTAGGCTCTGATCAGGGTGACCCTTCTGCGCACAGGTGAACTTCTATGGAGACCACACCAAGCTGATCCTCAGTGGCTGGGAGCCCCTGCTTGTGACTTTTGTGGCGCGCAATCGCAGTGCTTGTACTTACCTCGCTTCCCACCTCCGGCAGCTGGGCTGCTCCCCAGACCTGCGGCAGCGGCTCCGCTATGCTCTGCAGCTGCTCCGGGACCGCTGCCCAGCCTAGGCCCTAACCCTCAGGGCAGGCCATGACCCAAAGTGTCAGGTCTGAGGCCTGTGCCTGTAAGTCTCTGGCCCTTGCCTTCGCGGGCCTCCCTGTCCCTTTGGTGCCTCACTGGGGGCTCTGGGCCGAATCCCCCAGGGAATCAGGGACCAGCTTTACTGGGGTTGGAGTCTGCCTGTCCCAGTAGCCTCCTACCCCTTCTCCAAGAAAAGCCTGAGCCTTAGTCCCCAGCTTGGGGGCGTTATTTATGGACCACTTTTATTTATTAACAGACATTTATTTATTGGGATCGAGCCCCAGGGAGGGCCTCCTCCTGGGAGAATAAATCGTTTTTGCAGAACTTGGAGGCCTCCTCACTCACAGTAGAGCCCGTGCACTATAGCCACGGCGAAGAGGGAGGCATTGGTGAAGGCGGCGGAGGCCAGCCCGTCATGCTCGGTGTCCCAGAGCGCACGGCTGACGACGTGCACGCCTTGGCGGGCGCGCGGCCCTAGCATCACATTGCACACGAGCTTGTAGCGCGAGGGACAGAGTTCGCGCAGGCGCACACGCACCAGCTCGCACAGCTCCCGAGCCAGAGGCCCGGCCTCGGCGCCTGCGTAGTGCGCGTTGCCCAGCCGGGCGGCCAGCGTCTCTTCCATCGAGTGCTGCATGCGGCTGGCCTCCCAGCGCTCCCCGGGCGCGGGCTCCATGCGGTAGGAGGGCGCCAGCCGACGGAGGGGGGCCAGGGGCAACCCCGAGAAGCTAACCCTTGAGCCCAGAGGAGGCACTGGGCCCAGAGATGGTCGCCGACCCCCAGGACCTGCGCCGGGTCCTGCCAGCGAGTTGCGACGTGAGAAGGAGGAGGCTGGGCCCAGCACAGAGCCACGGCGGGAGGACGGGCCCAGACCTGCTAGTCGGGCCTCATCAATACTGGGCAGGTGGCCTGGAGGCCTCACCGGTGATAGTTTCAGCCCAGGGTCTTTGGTAGTTTCCTCCTCCTGGCGTCCGGGGGGCACAGGCCTGCCAGCCATGGACCTGCCGACTGGAAGACCCACACTGGGACAGGATGCCAGAAACTGGCCATTTTTGTACCCCATCCAGTCTTTCACTCTGTGATAAGGGTTTTTACTCCCTAACCCCTTCTTACCTGTGTTCCGGGGACAGGTGAATGAAATAGTCCGGGCTGTGTGGATTCCTAGGTTCTTAGAGCGTTAAGGGCTGTTAAGGACATAAGTGGTGCTGCTCAGACTATTACCTTAGGATGATGGCCCCTGCCCCCAAGCTTCACTTCCCCCTGGGCGCTGTGGAGGTTAGCTAAGTGAGCACCTCCTAGTCTCCCTTCTGCCTGACTACTCTCCCACCTGACTTTGCCAGCAGAAGGGGGAGATAAGTCTGCCCTTGGTTTGCCTCAGCCTAGACTGTGGTGCTTCAACACCCCCGACCAGAAGGAGACACAGACCCAACTCTTTCAGCTCCACAGACCATTCCAGCCCTGTGGGTACTGAATCCAGACACCTTCCACCCCTACCTGCTTCTAGGGTGCCTGACACAAAGATCGCCCCTATAATTGGCTGAGACTGGAGGCAGGTGACTCAGGAAGCTCCTTCCACCCTCTGAATTTGGCTTCTGGTCCTACCTCTAGAATCAGTTCTGGGATGAATGCCGCCTTCTCCCGAAACTCCCGCAGGCACCTGAGTCACCTGCAGCTTTTGGCTTCCAAACTCTCTCCCAGCTCCACAGGCTTGCCCTCCCTGCTGGCCTGACTGGCAAGCAGGAAGGTAATGGCCCCTTGTGTTGTGGAGTTGCCCTGGGTTACAGGCACTCCTGTCTGGTTTCCACCTACCAGTCCTGGCTCTGGCTTAACCTGGAAGTGTTACTACTGTGAGCAGGTGCTGAGTGTGGGGTCCCTGAGTCATCAGGGGAGAGGGGATAATGGGGGTCTAGACCCCAGGGCATACTACTACCACAAGGACAACTGAGGGGACAGATGTAGAGACGGGCTCCAGGGCTCTTGAGCCACTGTCCAGTTCTCCCCTCGTGAAGGCTGGCTCTTCAGTTGTGAGCAAGTTGCAGAAGCCTGGGATGTGGGGAGACCTTGAGCCTGCACGGGTGGCTGCTGAGGAATCAGGATCTGGGCCCACAGGAAGGAGAACGTCCTGGCTCTTTCGTCTCCCCGTCAGCCTCAACAAGGACAAATATTTCCGCTCCCTGTGCAGAGCTGGGGTGGGGCTTGGATGACTTCCTCAGCTCAGGGCTGTGTGCAGGGGGAGGGGAGGCCATCAGCCCTGCTGGTGGGAGCCGACCTGACGCAACAGTGGTGCAACAGTGGTGACTGGACTTGGTTAGGAACCAGCGCCCAGCCTCCTGACCCCTGCTGACCCAAGTGCCCTGGAGCTTATCCCTGGCTGGCCACACCTCTTGGGTGCCCAGAGAGCCACCCCCCTCACTGGGGTTGCATTTTAGGGATGCCAGAGGCCATGACGCCTCTGTCAGAGCTGACACCACCTCACCTGACCTCCCTCTGGAAGGGACAGGACTGTCTCCTCTCAGACAAGCCAGTCTGGGCCCTAAAAACTCCATGGGGGTGAGGAATTTCCCTGTTCAGGGGGGTTCCCCAGGCCTGACTAACCAAATCCTGACCCTGTGTGCCTGTGGGGGGCAGGGGTAGGAGGGACAGGGAGTTTGAACTCTGAACCCAAGACAGGCTGGGGGGCTGGGTGCTGAGACCCTCCACTCAGCTTCTGGCCCCCTTCTGAGGGCTAAAGCTTTTCCCTGGCCCTGTGGGAGATGGGCGGGGCCTCTCAAGCCAGGCTCCAGTTTCCGTGGAAACCCACAGGCTTCCCACCCACTGCTGCCTGGGCAGGCTCCCAGCTGGGGCCTCATCCGCTGCCAGCCTCTCCCCAGTCCAGTCTGCTCCACCTCAGCCTCTCTTGTTCTCCTCTCTGTGTCCCCATCCCCTAGCCCAGCCTCCGGCCTCTTCCACTGGCCTCTGATGCCTTCTTAAGGAACCTGGGCCTCTCCTGCCCCATCCCTAAACTTTAGCTTCTCAGCAAACAGGCTTCCCAAGCTCCTGCCCCTCCCTCTCAGGCCTTTCTAGTCTCCACACCAGCTGCCAGGCCTTGCCAGGCCTCCTGCTTCTTCCCACCTACCACCTCCCACAGACCAAGAAACAACAGGCCTCCTATTCTACCCACTTACCCCCCTGCCCCCCACCCCCATGGAGACCCCAGGACTGGTTGTGCACGGGGAGGCTGCACCCTTCTCCACAGCACTCCGAAGCCTTCTCAACAATCCCCAATACAGGTGAGGGGGTGGGCCCTGTCTGTGGGTTTTCCCTAACTGGCTTTGCTGGGCCCCATGACACTGAGGAAGCTTTGGGTATAAAGAGGTGGGGAAGACAACCCTCCTCCCTGGTGAACTCCGTCTGGGGAAGTCAACTGTGGAGAACGACTACAGGTCACTCAGAGTCCATGATGTCCTGAGAGCCAGAGGTGGGGGTGGGGGGCGGGCAGTGGGAGCTGGAGCCCAGAGCAGCTGTGTGACTTCAGGCAAAGGCCTTCCTTTTTTGGCTCTTGAGCTCCTGGCAGAGAAGAGCCCTTTGCCCCCTGGATCCTGAGAGATGGGATGTAACTTGAGTTCCTCCCTGGGAGGCAGAGGAGCAGATGACCCTTCTGGGAACTGGGGATTCATAAGAGGAACAAAACTCAAGGAACTGAGTGAGCCAGAGTCTCAGACAGGAAGTAGTTCAAGGGTGCTGCCTGGGGCTCACTGCCCAGGATGCTTGTGGTGTCTGAAACCAGGGATAAAATACGGGGGCAGGGCTAGAATGTAGCTTTCTGTCCCCACTGCCTGAGAGCTGGGCTCCTCCTTAAGGGTTGGTGACTCCCATAACCCCACTACTTTGGGGATTGCAGTCTGATCTGAGTAGTGGGAACCCCTGGCCTTGGACCTGGGACTAGGAGGCTCCAGAAGCTCAAGCTTCATTTCCTGCCTCCTACCCCCATGCTGTTGGGAGGCCCAGAGGCTGGGGCCGGAAGTGATTGTGAAGATGGAAAATGTGGTCTGGTCTCATGATGGTGTCTCGCTGCCATATCTGTTGGCAGCCAGTGTGCTCTGCGGCCCCGTTCCCAACCCCCTCCTGCCTAGAGGAGGCTGAAAAAAGCTGAGTTTGCAGTCTGTGGAGGAGGAGCCAAGAAGAGTTTCCTTTACCTCAAGACTCAGGCTGGGGAGGAGAGGGGCAGGTAGGATCAATCTTGCATCAGCCTTGGTGCCTCCTCAGTGATCAGGCATCGCCACCTCTTCCAAGACCTGAGGGTCTAAGATTACTATCCCATTTCACGGATGAGAAACCCGAGATTCCGAGGTATAAAGTCACCTGCCTGAGGCACCAGAGGGTGGAGCTGGGACTAGAATCCAGGAATATGTATCCCAGACCTTTGACTGGAAGGACTAAGACCTGTCCCTTATAGGACAGAAAAGGAAATAAAGGCCCAGAGTGGGCAAAGGCAGAGCCCAAGAGTTGCACCCAAGACTCCGGCCTCTTTTTCCCCGGTTCTCTCCTCCCCTTTCCCACAGTGATGTGTGCTTTGTGGTCGGTCAAGAGCGGCAGGAGGTGTTTGCCCATCGGTGCTTGCTGGCCTGTAGATGTAACTTCTTCCAAAGACTTCTGGGCCCAAAGCTGGGCCCTGGGACGCCCAGCCCTGTGGTACTAAGCTCCGTGCCGGCGGATGCCTTCCTGGCAGTGCTGGAGTTCCTGTATGCCAACAGTGTCAGGCTGCACCGCCACTCTGTGAGCCCACTGGGCGGAGGTCTGAGTGAGAGAGGGAGGAGGGTGCTGCGGGGGGAGGGGCAGGAGAAACTCTCTTCCACTCCTCCAACCACCCACTCTGCAGGTGCTGGAGGTGCTGACAGCGGCTGTGGAATATGGGCTGGAGGAACTACGAGAGGTGGGTTTATATGACGGGCCCCTGTCTCATTTCTCTTTCCTTTTATGGGCTCTGTTCACACCATGCCTCACGCACACTCTGGCCTGGAGAGGCATGTGTACTGACACAGAGTATGGACGGCTCTCTGTGTTAACAGGCATTTATGTGTGCCTGTGTGCAAAAGGATACGTGTGTGTTGTGTGTGTGCTGTGGGGACTTATGGGGTGTTTATGGCTGATGCCGTAGATGCCAGGATAAGTCAGCCTTGATCCTTGTTCTTCAGAGAGAGATAGACACATGAAAACCCTTAACCCAGGGGTATAAGAAGGATGATTGATGAGGGTATATGGTGTCGAGACTCTACAGAGGGTATCTCTGGTCCTGCCGTCAGGGAGAAAAGAAGGGAAGACTTCTTGGGGGATGAAATATTTGTGTTACATCAGGTAGAACAGATAGAGTTTGCTCAGAGGGGAATTGGAAAGGTGGCATTCTTGTCACCAAGGCACAAACGGAGCTAGTGAGCCATTTAGTGTGGCTGGACCAAGAGTGGGAGAGGAGGAGAGAGACAGATGAGATTGGAAAGGGTACCATGAGCTAGATCACTGCGGGACCTTCAAGAATTTGGACTTTTTTTTTTTTTTTTTTTTTACCCAGAGGGCATGGAGATTCATTGGAGGTTTCGGGTAAGGGAGTGAAGATTTGGAGCTAAGGGGAGAAGTGATTGGGAGAGATGGGAAGGGCTCCCCAGTCCAGCAGGGATAAGTAGCTGTGGAAGCCCAGAAGAGAGGTTCATGGCTTTGAGAGAAGTGGAACTGGCATGACCCAGCACTTTTCTGGATGCAAGGGTGAAAGGGATAGGTCATGGACAAAATTCAAATTTCTAGTTAAAACAAAAGAGTCTTTGAGTCAGGAGGGGTACAAGTGGAAGACAATAAGTGTCCTCAGAGAAAAGGAGAGTGGATTTTCACATGGCTTTCATCTAGTCCGATTATTGTGGAATGTGCTAGAAGGCAGACTGCAGGACACGAGGTAGACAGCTAGTCTCCAGTCCCTTCAGGCTTGCCAAGTCTCAGCCCCGGGTGATTCCTTGCCTCCCCTAGTCTGGGAGGTCAGGATGGGTTTGAGGCTGCTTAGTTGTCTGGGTGGCTCACTGCTTCCGGGGTGGGGCTCCAGTCTTGTAGCAGAGACACCTTGGCACAACCCGCTTTCATTTCTATTCCCAGCTGTGCCTGGAGTTTGTGGCGAAGGTGCTGGATGTGGAGCTGGTTTGTGAGGCCTTGCAGGTGGGTGTTGCTGGACCGGCGTGTAGGTGGGCGTCAGCGTGGAGGGCTGCACTACTAACCCGACAACCTTCATTCTGTTCCCAGGTTGCCGTAACCTTTGGCCTGGGACCGCTGCAGGAGCGCTGCATAGCCTTCATAGAGACCCACACCCAGGTACCTCTCCCCATCTGCATACTCCCAAACCCTCACACGTCATTCTGCTCCTCCCTGACCCATTCGTGGACCCACAGGAGGCGCTCCGGACCCGCGGCTTCTTGGAGCTGTCGGCGCCCGCGTTGCTGCCCCTGCTGCGCAGCGACAAGCTCTGTGTAGACGAAGCTGAGCTCGTTCTGGCTGCCCGGAGCTGGGCGCGCGTGGGCGCGGTGAGCCGGGCCTACGGGGACCCCACGGTGGGGATGCGGAAGGAGGCTTGGGGCGCAGGAACCTGGCAGGCGGGTGGCGGCGCGGGGCCCCCGCCTGTCCGGGCTTAGAGCTGGCGTTCGCAGGCCGTGCTGGAGCGGCCTGTGGCCGAGGTGGCGGCCCCGGTGGTTCGGGAGCTGAGACTGGCCTTATTGGCCCCGGCGGAGCTGAGCGCCCTGGAAGAGCAGAACCAGCGGGAGCCGCTCATCCCGGTGCGGACGCTGGGAACCAAACGCAGATCCACTCAGCAGCCAGGGGTGTGGGGGGGAGTGGGAAGAGAAGAGCGGGGGTTGGGGGCGTTGCAGCAGCCCAGGGTCTGCGGGGCGAAAGGGTACTGCCGGACTCCGCAGTGACCGGCCTTCCCTGCAGGTGGAGCAGATCGTGGAGGCCTGGAAGTGCCACGCTCTGAGAAGAGGGGATGCGGCCCGGGGCGCCCCGTGCCGCCGCCGGAGGGGAACCCTGCCACGGGAGCATCATTGCTTTCTGGACCTGCCCTTTAAATGACCAAGGCCACGATTTGCGAGGACTTCTGGGCCTGTCCCAAACTACAGCTCCCGATATGCCTGGCTCTCAGAAGGGGCTTCCGTCCCCAGCATGCCCTGCGAGCCCGGAGCTTGAGGAACCGCGATCCATCCCGCGCCGCGCCCTGTGGGTGGGATTAAGGGGGAGGGAAAGGAGTGGGAAGGGAAAGGAGGGGAGGGGCGTGGCTGGGGTGGCTGGGGCGTGGCCGGGGGCGTGGCGTGGCGTGGCCCCTAAGCGATTTCCTTTGCGCTCTTACCCTGTCTCTTCAGGGCCTCTGGCCACGTGGGCTTGGCGCCTTTACTTTTATAACCCCCACATGTTTTCAGCTCAGCTCCCTCTTTATTCCAGACCTAGCTCTTGGCGATCTCTCCCCAAACGCCGGACAGACACTTCAGACTCAGTTTGAAACTGAGCTGCCTTCTCCTCTTTCCCAAGTTCTGCCCCCGTCGTGTTTCTCATCTACGTCAGTGTCTAAGCCAGAAACCTGCCTTGCCTTATTCCTCCTCACATCTGCCTCCCGTGGCTTCCACCTTCTCAGAGACTGAAAGGGTAGCAGAATGTGCCAATCCAAAATATGCCTCTTTGATATAAGGATTATTTTAAACTATTTTGAGAAACAGCTGAAGCTCCGGAAACAGTACAAATTGCCCTTTTGTAAGAGAAATTTATATTTAAAAAGGAAATCTCCATTTGTAAGGGTGTCTCATTCTCTGTACCAGAAAAAGAAGGATGGTGAACTCACAGGAGGATTTTGGTAGAGAAGGCACCCACTGGAATCAGCTGAACAAACCATTTTTTTTTTAAGATTTTATTTATTTATTTGACAGATCACAAGTAGGCAGAGAGGCAGGCAGAGAAATAGGGGGAAGCAGGCTCCCCGCTGAGGACCCTAAGATCATGACCTGAGCCAAAGTCAGGGGCTTAACCCACTGAGCCACCCAGGCGCCCCAACAAACCTTATCTTGTTTACTGTGCTTTTCCAGGTGGCTTCCCCAGAACTGTCCTCCCTACACACTTTTCTTTCCTCCTTAGCTTAAGATGGTTTTTCAGCAGGTTTTTAGGCCGCCTCAGGGAGTAATTCATTTTTCCCTGAGTATCTTCCATGTACGCATGAGGTATACATGTTAATAAACATATTTTTCTCTTGTTAATCTGTCTCTTATTACAAGGGTCTCAGCCAAGAGCTCAGGGAGTAAAAGGAAAGTTGTTTTTTCTCTGCTAGGAGATCTTTCCAGTTGGTTCAGTTCTCTTGATTTAGTTCACCCCGTCCTATCTATGTCGGAATGAATGCAACAAGCTCTGAAAGTTTTCCTGCCTCACTCCAGCTCCACTGCCTCTGTGCCTGCCAGGCTCCTTTTCCTGCCAACCATTTCCCACACTGCAGCCAGACTTACTTAAGATCATCAGCCCTACTTCCCTTTTTAAGCCACTCAACATCCCCATTGCTCTGAGGACAAAATACACTCTATTTCACTCTTGGGACACTCAGAATTACTAGTGTTAACTCTTCTCTCAACTACCATCTTTGCATTAAATCACTGGTTCTGAAGGCCGTAGTCTTCTGGCTGTGCACTCACTCTCTTCGTTGCTGAAGACGCCCATGCTTCCTCTCATTCATTACACATTTTGTCTTCCTGAAGATCTGAATCTTTCTGAAGAAAGATCCCCTGGCCTGGAGTGGTGCCTTATTCATTTCTTGTTCCACAGTCCCTGTCACAGTCACGTAATCAGTGCTCTGTAAATGCTCAGTGATGACTTTATTTCCTTATTTAGATGCTATTTTAGTCCATGAAGAGTTTAAAAGAGCTGTAAAACAAGACACTATCAATCTGGGGCACCTGGGTGGCTCAATGGGTTAAAGCCTCTGCCTTTGGCTCAGGTCCTGGGATGGCTCAGGTCCTGGGATGGAGTCCCACATCTGGCTCTTTGCTCAGCAGGGAGCCTGCTTCCTCCTCTCTCTCTCTGCCTGCCTCTCAGCCTACTTGTGATGGCTGTCTGTCAAATAAATAAATAAAATCTTAAAAAAAAAAGACACTATCAATCTAAAATGAGGGACAGTTAATTAGAAGAAAATATGGTTAAAGTTCTGTCTCCAGGATTTTATACAAAAATACGTTGCACATGAATTAAAGATAGTTATTTGGCATTCTCTCTCAAGACTGAAAATGTGGTTACTCACAGCACTACTTCACGACAGCATTGTTTGGGTAATGAGAATTGAAAACAAACTAGATGTCTTGGTTTAACCTAGAACACTGATTAACTATGGTATATTCTTACTGTGATGTAGAAAGGTATCTGTGATCTTTGAAAAAAAGCTCAGTGCTTACCAGGTAGAGCAGGATTCCTTTTGCCAAAAAAAAGGTAGTGCAGGGGAGGAAGAAGTTTTCCTTGCCCCTCTTAGGGTCCCTGGTTGGGTCTGGAAATCAGCTTGACAAAGATAGATTAACAGGAGAAAAGCATACAAATTTATTTAAGATGTTTCCTTTTTAAAATTAATTATTTATTTACATAATCTCTACCCCCAACGTGGGACTTATACAACTCCAAGATCAATTAAGAGTCACATACTGGGGGCACCTGGGTGGCTCAGTGGGTTAAAGCCTCTGCCCTCGGCTCGGGGCATGATCCTGGGGTCCTGGGATCGAGCCCCACGTCGGGCTCTCTGCTCAGCGGGAAGCCTGCTTCCTCCTCTCTCTGCCTGCCTCTCTGCCTACTTGTGCTCTCTGTCAAATAAATAAATAAAATCTTAAAAAAAAAAAAAAAGAGTCACATACTGGGGCGCCTGGGTGGCTCAGTCTGCCTTCGGCTCAGGTCATGATCCCAGGGTCCTGGGATCAAGCCCCGCATCGGGCTCCCTGCCACATGGGGCTCCCTGCTAGGTGGGAGGCCTGCTTCTCCCTCTCCCACTCCCCTGTTTGTGTTCCCTCTCCCTGTCTCTGTCAAATAAATAAATAAAATCTTAAAAAAAAAAAAAAAGAGAGTCGCATACTCCTCTGCAACTGAGCTAGCTGGGCACCCCAATATAAATTTTAGTAATATGGGACTCTTCATAAGGAAATGAAGACCAGCGGCTCCTGGGTAGCTCAGTCTGTTAGGTTAAGTGGCTCAGGTCAGGATCCCGGGGTCCTGGGATCCAGCCTCACCTCAGGCTCCCCCCCGGCTTGTGCTTGTAATCTCTCTCTGACAAATAAGTAAATAAAATCTTAAAAAAAAAAAAAAAAAAAGGAAATGAAGGCCAGAAGAAATGGTTAAATCTCAGTATTTTTATGCTAGGTTTGATGAAGAGTGGATAGTCATGAAGGAATATGATGGTTTAAAGTTGTTTTGTTTTGTTTTGGTTTTTTTGACAGATCACAAGCAGGCAGAGAGGCAGGCAGAGAGAGAGGAGGAAGCAGGCTCCCTGCTGAGCAGAGAGCCAGATGCGGGTCTCGATTCCAGGACCCTGAGATCATGACTTGAGCCGAAGGCAGAGGCTTTAACCCACTGAGCCACCCAGGTGCCCCAGGAATATGATGGTTTAAAGAGTATGCGGTGGGGCGCCTGAGTGGCTCAGTGGGTTAAGCATCTGCCTCGGGCTCAGGTCATGATCCTGGGATGGAGCCCTCCCTTGGGCTCGTTGTTTAGGGGAAGCCTGCTTCTGCCTCTCCCTCTGCCCCTCCCCAGGTTGCATGTGCATGTGGCTCTCTCTCTCAAATAAAATCTTAAAAAAAAAAAAAGAGTATAAGGCAAGTGTAGTAAACTGGGGGAAACTTAACAGGCCTGTTTGTTTGGATTCTTCTTGGAGCCCCTTTGACTTTGGAGATAAGGATGATTCCTTGCCTCCAGTATAGGAAGGTAGGGCTCACGTGAGGGTTTAATGACCCATTTCTAGGGAGAAGGGAGGGTGTGGGTAGGGTAGGATGGGGAGGTGAGAGTGACTTTCATGGTTTCTCAAATTGCTTAAAATATCCAATATGAGGGGCGCCTGGGTGGCTCAGTGGGTTAAGCCTCTGCCTTCGGCTCAGGTCATGATCCCAGGGTCCTGGGATCGAGCCCCACATCGGGCTCTGCTCAGCAGGGAGCCTGCTTCCTCCTCTCTCTCTGCCTGCCTCTCTGCCTACTTGTGATCTCTCTCTGTCAAATAAATAAATAAAATCTTAAAAAAAAAATCCAATATGGTAAGATACTGTGTTTTGTCCTGAATCCCATCAGTAGTACAGTGATTAAGAGTATGTCTCTTCTGGAGCTCGGCTGCCTGGGTTTGAATCCTAATTCCACCACTTTGGGGCTTTGCGACTTGAATGAGGGTATATAACCTTTCTATGCCTCAGTTTCCTTATTTATAAAATGGAGCTAATAACAGAATCTATTTAGTAGGGTTCTTAGGAAGCTTGATTTTGTTAAGTGCTGAGAACTGTAGTGGAACAGTTTATGTATTGTATATATGCTTAGAAAAGAAATACATTCATTTGTCCCACAGATATTGAGTGCTTGTGTGAGAGGCACTGATTTAGGGTCATGGAATCCATCAGAGAACAGGGCAGGTAAAATCCCTGCCCCACAGAGCTTACATTGTAGGAGAAACATACGCAGACAAGCAAGTTAAAGTATGATATAATTTCAGCGAGTAGTTTGTACTCTGAAGAAAAATAAAACAGGCTAAAATGATAAATAGCGATGTGGTGGGACTGGGACTGTTTTAGAGGGGGTGGTGAGGGGGGACTTCTGAGATAACACTGGACTGGAGAACTTAAAGAGGAAAGGTGTAAAGCACGTGTCCTGGGGAAGACTTTGGAGGGGTTTATGCAGGAGAGTGGAGTGTGTGATCAGCTTTACATTAAAACAATTTCTATGTGGGGGTTTCTGGGTGGCTCAGTAGGTTGAGCATCCGACTGGTAATTTCAGCTAAGGTCATGATCTCATGGGTCCAGAGATGGGGCAGTGTGGGGCTCAGCAGGGGGTCTGCTTGGGATTCTCTTTCTCTCCCCCAGCCCGTCCCCCTACTTGCAGGGAGCACTCTCTCAAATAAATCTTTTTTTTTTTTTTTTTATTTGACAGACAGATCACAAGTAGGCAGAGAGGCAGGCAGAGAGAGAGAGGAGGAGGAGGCAGGCTCCCTGATGAGCAGAGAGCCCGATGCGGGACTCGATCCCAGGATCCTGGGATCATGACCTGAGCCGAAGGCAGAGGCTTCAACCACTGAGCCACCCAGGCGCCCCTCTCAAATAAATCTTTTTTAAAAAGTAACACTTAAAAGGGGCGCCTGGGTGGCTCAGTGGGTTAAAGCCTCTGCCTTCAGCTCAGGTCGTGGTCCCAGGGTCCTGGGATCGAGCCCCACATCGGGCTCTCTGCTCGGCAGGGAGCCTGCTTTCCTTCCTCTCTCTCTGCCTGCCTCTGCCTGCTTGTGATCTCTGTCTGTCAAATAAATAAATAAAGTCTTAAAAAAAAAAAAAAGGTAACACTTGAAAGCCCCCCAGTTTCTTTGAGTGTTGTGTGGAAGTGTGGGACAAAGAGATAGGAGGGGTGGGGTGTAGTCCAAGGAGAACAGTTGAGGAGGGGTTTTTGCATGAATCCCTCAAGATCTCTTCCAGGATCAGGGTGAAGTAGGTGAAATGTAGCTGCATGAATATAGTCATCAATGGGACCTACTGATGGCTGTAAATTTGTGGACCATCACCAGCTCTGAGATGGTGTCCACTTAAAGCCAGAAAATCAAATGAGCTTGGGCAAGAAGATGCAGATAGGTGGGTGGAGCTGGGTCTAAAATCCGAGGACACATTTGGTGCTGAGCCGTATCCATCCTCTCATAATGCTTCTGTATGGCACTTAATCACTAAGATTGTAAGTTACTTATCCCAATTATATTACTTACCCATTTTTTTCCCCCAGTGCTTGGTGCACTGGAAAAATTAAGTAAATTAAGCCCTTTCCTTATAGTAAGGAATCTGCTATCTTCAGCATGAAAAACCGTCCTAGAGTGAAAGTTGGATGTGAAAGTTCAGCATGAAAAAAGTCATACCAGACTGCCGTGGAAACAACTGTGGAGTCTGATGGGAGACAGGACTGTGCTTCCCCCTTGTTGTTGTATCTCAAGGCAAAAATATTGGGAGGAGGGGCTCCTGGGTGGCTCAGTTGTTAAGCATCTGCCTTTGGCTGGGGTCCGATCTCACCGTCCCCATATTTGACTCCCTGCTCTGTGGGAAGCCTGCTTCTCTCCCTCTCTCTTCTCAATAAAATCTTTTTTTTTTTTATTAAAGATTTTATTTATTTACTTGACAGACAGAGATCACAAGTAGGCAGAGAGGCAGGCAGAGAGAGAGAGAGAGAGAGAGAGAGAGAGAGAGAGAGAGAGGAGGAAGCAGGCTCCCTGCAGAGCAGAGAGCCCAATGCGGGACTCGATTCCAGGACCCTGAGATCATAACCTGAGCTGAAGGCAGAGGCTTAACCCACTGAGCCACCCAGGCGCATTCTTCTCAATAAAATCTTAAAAAAAAAAAAAGAAAAAGCAATAAGAGAAGAATTAATTTAAAAGAAAGATATTAGGAAAAACGTGCATGGCTTTTTACTCTTTTCCGGTCCTAACCCTCCCACGGAATAAATTCGAGCAACCTACACTACTGTAAAGCAATAGTAAGAAAACCCACACCAACGGAAGGCAAGACATTGATCACATGAATAGCAACAAGTAAACACCTTAAAAAAGAACTTAATTTCTGTGCAAAGAATGACTAAAACCGCACCACCAAAGGTCACAAATATACATTTCTATTTTTGCATGCCAAAAAATTAGACCTCACTAAGTGAGGTCTCAAAAAATTGTGCGATCACTCAGAACTGTTTCTCTCCACGGAAATCTTTAGTAAAAGGCGAAAGATTTATGCGATTTGAAGAGAAACCAGAGTATACGTTTATTGTTCTATTGAAACCTCCTAGAACAAGACAGCTCTTAGCACAGTTATGGTTGTTCAGTGGCTGCACGGTTCGTGCTCCCTGCCTGGAATTTGTACGCATCGTGTACTTCTAACAGGCGGTACGTCCTGAAACGGTGCACAAATCTCCGTGGGGTGGAACTCAAGCATCGTGGAACTGTCTTTTCGTGGTGCACCATGGGTATGCAAATCAAGGCGGCTCCGGGCTGGTGGGAGACCCCAGCTGTCGCGGCGGGGAGGCGCCAGGGGGACCCCCGGGCGGTAGCTCTTCCTCTTTTCTCTGTGGTCTGCACGGGAACTCGCGCGCTGTTTTCCCAGAGAGATAAGGGTGCTTCCCGCTGGTGCCTGCGGGTATGGAGCCTTATACCGAGGCTGGAGCCGTTTGTCCCAATTGTTTTTTGTTTTTTTTTTTAAGATTATTATTATTATTATTATTATTATTTTTTATTTGACAGGCAGATCACAACAGATCACAAGTAGGCAGAGAGGCAGGCAGAGAGAGAGGAGGAGGAGGCAGGCTCCCTGCTGAGCAGAGAGCCCGATGCGGGACTCGATCCGAGGACCCTGAGACCATGACCTGAGCGGAAGGCAGAGGCTTTAACCACTGAGCCACCCAGGCGCTCTTGCCCCAATTGTTTAGATGCTTATCATTGTATACCCACAGGGACACCCTACACCTCCCCCCACTCCCGCTCCTCCCTGCACATCCCCCCCCCCCAACCCAGTGCTGGGGCAGAACTGGAAACAGTAAAGCAACGACATTCAGGCCCTCTGTGGAGGTACATCACTACCCCTCCTGCAAGAGACGGCATCCAATTTATTTATTAAAAGATGGTTCCACCAAGGAGGAAAAGTGTTCTTAGCAGAAGGAACCGCCTATGTGAAATTATAGGAGATGCACACTGAAAGTAATTCAGCCTGTCTAGGGTGTAGTGTGTCTGAATGAGGGTGGGATTCTGACTAGGCACTGTCTGGGAGAGAGCTGGAGTAATGGCAGAGGCTAGAGCAAGCTGCACCTGGAAGGGGCTTGGATTTCATCTTGTCTGTGATGGGGAGCCACGGAAGAGTACTGAAGTCAGGACTGAGTCGTTGGAGGTGCCACGCCGGGTGGGCTGCCCTGAGCATAACTTTCCAGAGCAAAAACTTTCAGCACAGCTAATAGCTATACAAACTACAAAACTAGAGAGGACTTATGAGATACCAGGTTATTTCTTACATAAGTGATTTCACTGAAAATCCTGAGGGGGGAAAAATTGCACCCTACAGGATGGGCTCTAATCTTCCCATTTCATAGATGAAGACATGGAAACACAGTGATGGCAGCTAGCTTTTCTAGGCCGCTCTGCTTGTAAGTGGCATGGTAGGCTGACATATTTTATATTATTCGAGCTCAGTGAGCTCTCCTGCTCCACCCAAAGGCCCCTCCATAGTGACCCAAACACAACCAGACTGAAATCCAGCCTCCATCCCTTGCACTACTTTAGGTTCAAGGCCAACTATTCACTCCTTTTAAATGTTTTCTTTTTTTTTACAAAATTTTTTTTAAGATTTTATTTATTTATTTGACAGACAGAGATCACAAGTAGGCAGGGAGACAGGCAGAGAGAGAGGAGGAAGCAGGCTCTCTGAAGAGAAGAGAGCCCGAGGCGGGGCTCGATCCCAGAACCCTGGGATCACGACCTGAGCCGAAGGCAGAGGCTCTAACCCACTGAGCCACCCAGGCGCCCCTCCTTTTAGATCTTTTTAGGCATTTTAGCGTTTAGGTTTTTTAAAAAAGATTTTATTTATTTATTTGTTTGTCAGAGAGAGAGAAAGAGAGAGCAGAGCAGGCAGAGTGGCAGGCTGAGGCAGAGAGAGACGCAGGCTCTTCGCTGAGCAGGGAGCCTGATGAGGAACTCGATCCTGGGATCATGACCTGAATGGAAGGCAGCGGCTCAATCGACTGGGCCACCTGGGCTTCCTGCACTTTAGTGTTTTTTTAAAAAGGTTTTATTTGACATAGAGGGAGAGCACACGCACAAGCGGGGGGAGTGGCAGAAGCAGGCTCCCTACTGAGCAGGGAGCCCAATGCAGGAACTAGATCCCAGGACTCAAGGACGGTGACCTGAGCTGAAGGCAGATGCTTAACCCACTGAGCCACACAGGCGCCCCTGGGCATTTTAGTGTTGATTCAACTGCTGTAATTTTGTTTATGCATTTAACTAATTAATTTTGCATTTAGTTGGAATGTGATTTTCTGGCCTTTAGCCTGGTGGTGGGATATGAGAAGGCAGTGCTCTTAAGGTGGGGTTGTTCCTGGTGAGTGGCTGGCTAGAACCCAGGCTGGATCTTTGTGTCTCTGGAGACTGAGCCCTGGAATAGTTGGGGGAAGGCCATAAAAGGCCTCCCCCATCTCCTAGGGTGAGGTGCTCGATTCTAGCCCTGTGGTGTGGCCAGAATCTTCTAGGCCTCTGTATGATGGGGCTATGTGACATCATAGCACCATCAGCTTAAATATAGCACCTCATCGGCAGATAGCAGAATCTGTTTCTGGACAGTTCCTCCACTCTGTCTCCTGGCTGTCTGGCCAGAGATGCCTCTGGGGCATCAGACTGCTGACTTGCAGAGGCCTCTTGCCTTAGGTTTAGACATACAGCACCTGAAACTTCTCCCAAGAACCTGCTGTTCCCACCTCTGCATCAACCGACTCCTCTCCCTATCGGCTTCCTCTTCACCTTCCACCTCCGCCCACGCCCCTCGCGCCGCTGAACCAGCCAGGTGGGCACTGCGCCGGAGAGGTGTGTGCAGCTGGACCTGGCCGGCCTGAAAGCCACACCGCGTAGAATTTGACATCAAAAACCTTTGTATCTTTTCACACACTGAGCACTTAACTCAGGTCCTGTTGCCAACTATATGACCAGCGTACGTTTGCTGATCATCATTACTTGCCAGGTGAATAAATGGACCCAAATTATGTTACAAAAATTTAGCACCTGTGGCCTTTACCTCCCAGGATTAGAGTAGCCTCAGGAACTCAGACTATGACACCCCCATACTTGCAAACTCCCGTTTGTTCAAAAGAAAAGTGCCGAAGTCGTTTGAGAGGAGTTCATATAGAATATATTTCACTCTTTAAAAATAAAACTTTCAGCGTAGCTACCATCTATACAAACTACAAAAATAAACATCTTCATATAAATAATTTATGTGGTAGGATGTGGGCAGCTGCCAAGCATAGGGGGCCCAGGCCTCCCAAAGGGTGCTAGAGGACCCCTCCGTCTTGGTCTGCTAGGGGCCAGCAGCACAGGGGTGTGGGGGTGGGGAGAGAAGAGGGCCTGATGGCAGCCTGAATTGCTGGCCTCTCCCCGCATCCGGACAGGCGCCCACACACACAGCCTGGTGTCGAGGCTGCTCTGAGCCCAGAGGCTGCTGGTTTCATAGGACAGCAGGGAGGTCTGTGACCGCTGGGGCAGGGGAGGGGATGAGAGAGACAGCAGCAGCGGGGTTCTCCAGGCAGCTGTCCTGCATTCAGTAACACCACCCCCCACCCCGCAATACTTCCCAGTGACCTCATGTGGCTCAAGCAGAGTCTCCTTGCTTCAGGCACTCTTTCATCCAGTGGCTGGACATGGTCCCCTAGAACTGAGGTTGCTGGAGCCACTGGCAGCTGGTGTGGCAACAGGGGACCAAGTGGGCTCATCAGAGGCTGGATGGATGTAGGCACCAGGCAGTGGGGGTGGGTGGAGGGCCACTGTCATGGAGGTAGTCACTCTGGCAAAGCTCTGGGGCAGGGTGGGGGACAACCCCCAGCTGAGCCCTCCTTCTCGTGGAGCTGGGGGGCTGAGGACCTCTGGGCTCTCCTTGTACATCTGTACCACCTGGGGGAGACATCGGTCCCAGTGAGCCCAGGGCTCCCAGGATGTCAGTCCCCTACAGCAGCTCCCTGGTGCATCACCAGGATTGTTGGGAAGCTGTGGCCCTTGTTGGCTTCTAGAAGGATATAAGAGCCGACAAGGGACAGGATGTGAAGGTCTAGGACAAACCCTGCACCTTGCTCTGGACCCTAAACACTAAGGTGGGTCCCATGAAGAAGCCAGGAAAGCTGAGGGGCAGGGACATGGTGTTTGGGCAAAGGGAGAGGCTGCCAGCCTCAGCTGACCTCATGGGGAGGGTCCCTGTGAATTGAGTCCTGTCTTTGGGCCACTGAGATTTTCTTCCTGGCTCTGACTCTTCCCTTGCTTGTCCCACCCCAACCCCTGGGCTGGGAGCAGGGGGAGGGTATGGTCACCTCTGGTGGGGGGCCCAGGATGGAGAGCAGCACGGGCAGCAGCACGAGCCCATGGAGGAGGCCCAGGAGTGTGAGCACTGTTAGCACCACGAAAAAGTACCTGCGTGGGGCAGGTGGTCAGCCTGGGTAGCCCCTGTGGCCAGCGCAGGCAGGCTGCACCTCCCTGCCCCAGCCCTCCCCTACCTTATGATGAAGTCAAAGTTGGAACCAGCAAGCATGAGCAGACCCAGCAATGTAGAGACGGCCCCATCGGTCACTGGAGCCAAGGTGTGCTCTAGGGCACAGGCAGCCCGCAGGTTCCGGCTCCCCTGGGTGGTCAGGAAGCCCTGTGGGGACAGACAGGCCCTGTAGCTGCTCCTTGGCCAGCCATGCCCCCAACTTCTCATCTGTCCCCAGGGCTCGCAGGTCAGGTCAACTGAGCTTCGAACTGTCCAGGAAGTATGCCTGAGTCTATTTAGGGAACACTGTACATGTCTACAGTGAGACACAGCGAGAAGTCTAGAAGAGTTGGCAAACAAAGCCTGTCACCTGTTTTTGTAAATAAAGCTTAGCTGAAATGCAGCCACACCCATCCACGTACATATTATTGTCTGTGGCTGCTTCGGGGCTACAGTACAATGGTAGGATCCCAAGGGACACTCTGGGACCTGCCCGCTTAAGATATTTAATGTCTGGCTCTTTACATAAAAAGTCTGCTGATCCCGGTCC